AATTTATTTTAAAGATGAAAAATCTCTAAAGACAGATGGAGTTGTCTCCAATATTATATTATATAGCTAGAGTCTCTTACTATCCATATCATCATTTAAATCAGATGAATATCTCTTCATGTGAAAGAAAAATTTGAAGAAATAAATTCACTCAAATATTTGTCGTCGACTGTAATATATTCTATTCATTGTTCTTTGTGGTATGTGAACTATGAGTTGGACAATGGATGAAAAACATTCATCGAAAAGTTCATTTAAAAATCCTCCTGATCATTAATGATTCTTATGATAGAAAAGCTGTTTGAAGCGTTTTTCGTTTAAAGTAGATTCCGCAGAAACTTTCTGCATATACTTCATAAAGAAATTTTTTCTAACTTATAAAATATAATTATCATAATAGACATCCGAATATGTAACATAAAAATATGTTTTACAATGAGAAACATACTCTATTAAAAACATATTTTCTCATACATGCGCTCTCTTTCTCTGTTAGAGATTCAATTAGATTTCTAACTAATAAGAGTCTATTATGGAACAAACATATTTAGAAATAAGTTGTGAGATTCACATTATATAACTGGAAGCATATTCATTTTTATGAAAAATCTATATAAAAAATGTTTATTAATTAATCGCTTATTTTTTGTTTTTAAACATAATTAGTTGAAGAGATTCTATGAATTTAAATGAATTAGAAACTAAAAACAAAGTTTGTGATTCATTTCTGCTTGAATGACTTTCATCTCTATCGATTATAAAGTAACATCATTGATGAACTCTGAAAAGTTATGTAAAGTAAGATTTTCATAAGATTTTTTTTCTCATAATATCTATTCATAGTTGGATAGAATACGTCGAATTATTTGGAAAAAAGTAGTTTTTTTTTGCTTTGACAATGATTTTTTCCACAGAAAATCTTTTGAACAATGAAAATTTAAAAAAGAGCAATTTCTATGGAATAAAGCCACATTTATAATTTTTTTCTTCTTTAGAAAATATGAAAATATTGTTTTCTGATTCAGCATATCAAATTTACTTTGGAAATATATTAATGTGATCATTTAATTTTTTTGGACCCTATTGATACCTAGGACAAGGTCCTGAGTTATCTTGCAAACGAATCAACTTTTCTAAGTGTAAAGATTAAATCATTCTTTCTATTTCATTATAACCGTAGTAGGACCTAGAAAAAAAGCTACACATCCTTGTTTTTTAAATTTTATTTCGTTGCTAAGAAAATCAATTTTTTCCGACGTCAGTGGCAAAACAATGTAAAATACACTAATATCTATAGGTTTTGACAATCAATATTTCGTTTTCAAGCAAAATTAAAATATGATATTCGGAATCAGCATAAAATAACAAAATTATGTTTCTTCAGATGTATAATTTTAATTCTGTTTGTTCTCTTTCTCTCTCTCTTATTATTTATTCTAGTGTGAAGTCTCACTTCATACCTGAAACTATCATATTATAGACATTTATTTTTGAAAAATATTCTTCTTCAATTAGGTATTTTCAAATGCTGAAAATCACAGTTTATTGTTTACAATGAGAGCATGATAAATTTCAGTTATCAAGAAACTGAAATATCTCCATATCATTATTGAACAGATGATAAGCTAAAGAGTACTGTTACAAAAGTCTATGCTAAATATTAATAATACATAGTGAAAATTCATTCTTAGACATATAATTGTAGAAATACAATTCATAGTTTGGTATTCACATATATTAAGAAATTCATTTTAATATGAAATATGTATAGAAATAATATCTCTAATTATGGATTTAGTTTGAGTCAAAAAATTCGTTTTTATTTTATACTCTTTTCTAGTAAAAATGAATTTTTGATCCAACCCAACCCAACTGTAAACATCTTTTCTACATTGTTTTTATACTAAAATCAATTTTTGACGCTTATTTCTCAAAATATAGAATCAAATTTCGATGAAGTTTTTCTTATAGTTATTTCATTTGAATTTCCTAGAAATAGAAATTTATCATTTCATGAAAGAACATTTTATAATCATGCAGATATAATCCTATAGGGATGGACTATGAAATATTAGAAAAGTAATGTCACTGCAAGATTTGATCTTATGATGAAATATATGTAAAAAAAAAACAATCTTTGAATATCAATATAGAAAAAATAAAAATATTGAATGAATAGTCACAGTATGTCCATTAATCCCTTCATTATTATCCTTATTTTGAAACTTCATTGTTGTCTTAGGGTCTGTCTGAGTCCATTTATAGAAAATTACAAAAAAAAACCGATACTTTTACTATATTGAAGTTATTTATTTATGTGTTATAAGCCTCTAAATACTCTTTTTCTACAGATTGACATGTGACTGTGGGTGCACAGAAGATCCATATCCTCGATATAGAAAATAGGATAAATAATTGACATTTAATTTAATAAGAAACATATCAAACATGAACTTATTGATTACATAACTTTAAAAATCAACTCTAGTTAAATATTAATAGTATTCATTGAGTACTAATTAATATTCAATTAACGTACGATGCAAAAGTAATGGCACAAAATGTTGGTCCTTATAATTTTTCATAGATAAAGTTCTGAAAGAAAAATTTTCCTTATTAGTCGATAAGAAATTTTCTCCTCTTTCGACCTATATACAAGTTATTTTTATCAAATGCTCATAGGTAGAATACCATAAAAAATAAGAGAGGCACCTTAAAACAATTTTTGTACTTTTCATATATTTCAAAATAACAACACAAAATACCGACTATTATATTTTGTTTTTAAACAAATGTTAGAACGATAATTTGTTTTTTATTAGCTGACAAGAAATTTTTTGTTCTTTCGAATTGTATATAACTTGTTTTTGTCAAACATTCATAGACGAAATGACAAGTGAAGAAAGAGATTTGCCCATAGAAGAAAACCATGGTCCGTAATGTAGTTTGATTAAGTTCTTTTGCCCTTTTTTTTTTGATTCTGAAAATCAATAAATTCAAATTTTTGGTTTCCCAGTTAACGTTATTTCAGTTAATTTACAGATTTTCTTTGGTAAATCAATTAAAAGTCGACAATTTCTTCTATGAGCAAATCTCTTTCTTCACTTGTCATTTCGTCTATGAATGTTTGACAAAAACAAGTTATATACAGTTCGAAAGAACAAACAATTTCTTGTCAGCTAATAAAAAAAAAATTATCGTTCTAACATTTGTTTAAAAAAAAAGATATAATAGTCGGTATTTTGCGCTGTTATTTTGAAATATACGAAAAGTACAAAAATTTTTTTAAGGTGCCTCTCTTATCTTTCATGGCATTCTACCTATGAGCATTTAATAAAAATAACTTGTATATAGGTCGAAAGAAGAGAAAATTTTTCTTTCAGAACTTTATCTATGAAAAATTATAAGGACCAACATTTTGTGCCATTACTTTTGCATCATATGTTATTATTATTCTCACGATGTCTTCTTTATCAATCTTATTTTAAACTTATCAAATATCAATTAGATTTATATTGTACGAAGAAAAAAAAGCAAGAAAAATTTTTTTTTCTATTAATTGTATCATTTACACAAAAGAAATGTTTTCTATTATAATTTTTATTTAAATATCATTGTTAGAAATATATAGATAATATACTCTTTTAAATTGAATCTATAATAATTAGATTCAATTTTCAAAAATTGTTTCGTCATTCATAGGAAAATATCTCTTGTTTAGTTATCATATGAAGATAGCTTGTTTATTTAACAAAAATGAGCAAAACATCATGTATATATATAATGAGAATAGTATTAAAATACAAAATAATATTAAGTCTGTTTAATATATAATCGAGATTCGAATGGTAATAAATCTAATGTTAAATTATTAACATCATCAACAAGAACTTGTTCATTTGTTATATAATCGATCCATATACCATTTTGAGGAAAATTTCCTATAATATATTTCGTTTTAGGCATTTTATCAAAATGAGTAATAACAACTAAATTTATTCCACGATAATAACATAATATTTTATTTTGATTATCTTCATAAAAAAAGTTGATTTGATCTTCTTGAAGAGATTTATTTGTATGACGAAGTTTTATTAAATGTTTAAATGTATTTAAAAGATGAATATTAAAATCTTTTTCAAGTAGATACCATGGCATTGGAAAACATGATCTATAATAAAAATAAAAATAAAAATAAAATCATTTTCTATCTTTTAATGATTTTCTTAGATAAAAAAGAAAACTAAATGAAAATTACTTTTCTACTTGATTATTTCCTAATTTTCTATCGTCACCAAGTTCCTCTCCTTGTCGAATCATTGGAATTCCAGCAGATGTAAATAAAAGAATAATAGCTGTTTCCATTTTAATAAAAGCATCTGAATCTTTTTTACCAATATGATGAAGTAATCTTTCATTATCATGACAAGATAAATAATTAACAAAATTTTTTGATGAAAATATATATTTAAGATTGGCTAAATTTTCCAATTTATCAATTTGATCTTTTTTAAAAGCAAGAAAACATCTTAAACTTTCATGAAATGATGATGACCAACAAGTATCAACTGGACCACCATATTCTTTACATAAATCTTTTCTTTCAGGAACATATTCAGCTTGAGAAAAAAATGGTTTGAATGGATATATTGAACGACCAATTAAATCCAAATGACGAAGAATATCATAATTATCCATTTGTTTAGCTAAAAAAAAAAGAGTTAATAAATTATTTTTATTCTTACGAGAGAATTTCTAAATAATTCGATAAAGAATATTTTCATAAAAAAACAAAAATATCTTTTAGACAAAATTAGAATTCGACTAGAACTAAATTTATACAATTGTATAATTATAGATCAGATCACTTTTTTATAGTCCGGTTCAGTTCGACAGAAACTTCGTTTACAAAGATTTTGTTTTCTCAATAGACAACTATCCCATATTTTTCGGCTTTTATAAAAAGTGATGATCAAAGGGGTAGCGTGGAGAAGTTTTTCCCTTTCACCCTTCAGGAATGAGCCAAATCTTAGAAAAAATTATGTTAAAAAAGGATAAAATCATCGGATCAGGCGGCTCGTTTCAAGGCCTGTTATAGAGATACGTGTTAGAGTCTAATAAAAGAAAATGTCTAAATTAGATTCAACAACCGGTTCAACTTATGTTTGTATGTATAGGAAAGTGTGCTACAAATATGGATGAATAGATTAAAATATTTTATCTTGTAAATAGTTTAGTGAAATGAAAAGATATTATTGAATAAAAACCAAATTATTATTCTATTGAGATTTGGTTAGATTACACAGAAAAAGTTTCATAATATTTAATTTCAAATAAGTCGAGATACACTTAACCCTTTATACCCTGTTGGGTCATTTTTGACCCATTCATACGGAGTTTTCCATACCATATAGGAAGTATGGTATGGAAAACTCCCAAAACAATATTGTTACAGAACTCCATAAGCTATCGATTGGTAAAAAAAATATTTTGTTTCGTTGCTCTATCTCCGATATATATAGCTTTCAAAATTATCGATTTTGAAAGAATTTAAAAATAACAAAATTTTAAAAACAAAACGGTTTTTCACTCACACGCAATAAAGATTTCGAGGCTGCGTTGTGACGTATATATCGATAAAAGTGTCTACTATTTAACTAAATGCGTTTCAAAAATTTCACAATGGCTTGGCAGATACGAAATGGTAAGATACGAAATGGATCCTGAAACGACTATTGAACAGAAAGAGAGAGATAGCGGATACCATGAATATATTATTTGTAAATCTTATCAGAGTAGCAATCGAAAAAAATATATATCATCGATTACTTGTCTTCATTGATGATATAATTACTTAAAGAAAAATATGTATTTTTAAAAAATCTCTGTCAAAAATACATGTGATGTTTAAAAGTCGCTTTTTATATTCGTAGCTTTTCGTTTTGGATTTGAGTCTAATAGAAAGGAATAGAAGACACATTGGCCTAATTAACACCGTCATAAACAAGAAAAGAAGTAGGGCTTTTAAAGTTGTTCCATTCCCTTCTCTATCTCAATGGTCACTGTCGTAATCAAATTCCCCTGCACAAAAGGTAGTGCGTCTGATCGATCTGCCTATACCATTGGTATATTAGGGAGACCAATACTCTATTTTTATGGTAATTTTATCAGTGTCTCTTCTGGAACCGCTTCAGGGTATAAAGGGTTAACTTTAGTGTAAATATAACATGAAGAACATTCTTTTAATAAAAAAATTGCTTGGAATTGATCGAAATTCTATGTATGAAACTGCTTTTAAATTTATAATTGATGTTTGGAATAAAAACAGAATAAATTTTCAAAATGAAATTAGTTCAATCATATAGAATGCAATCCATGCCAACTTCATTCTCTTGCTTGAAATATCATATGAAAAATGTCATTTGCCATTCTTAGAAAATTCCATTTCCAAGCGTATCTGTCTGTAAAACCGTTTTTTTTTTCTAAAGAGTATACTAGTGATTTTTGTCGAATTTAAATCACATAGGAAGAAGAACTTGTCTTTTTCTTTCTTTCGAAATTTTCTTAAAAAAAATTTTTCTTATTATTCAATAATAAAAAAACAAACCTGCATCAAATCGAACGCCATCTAAATGAAATTCTTTAATCCAATATTTCATAACATCAGTAACAAACTTAACAGCAGGTTTTATATGTAAGTTTTTATCTTCAAATTCATAATTAAATTCAGGTCCCCACCAATATGGATCTTGAAAAATATTAATTATTAAAAACAACGATAAATAAATAAAATAACTTACCATTAGGATGATGTTTTCCTTTATAATACTAAAGTGAATAAATAAATAATTAAAAATTATTTTAAATAAATTAAAAAAAAAAAGAGCATTACCCAATAATTTCTATCAATAAGAGCAAGAGGACATTCTTTATCGGAATGATTAAATACACAATCAAGAAAAACACGAATTTTTCTTTGATGACATTTATCAACAAGTAATTTTAAATCATTAATAGAACCATATGTTGATTTAAGACAAAAGAAATGACGTGGTAAATAACCCCAATCATGTTCTTTTCCTTGTGATCCTATTTTAATAAAATAAAAATATTTATTATATTCTTATCAATTCGAAATAATGAAGATAAGAAGAAATTATCAAGAATAATATTATTACACACTTTAATAAATGAATTGTTATAATTAGAATTTTTTTTTTGTTTTTAAATGATCTTATTTATTTTGTTTTATTTAATAAAAGAATAACTTTATGATCTTACCCATAATTGGCATTAATTCAATAGCATTAATACCCAACTCTGATAAATAATCTAATTTATCAATAACACCTGAAAATTGTCCATTTTCAGAAAAATCAGCAACATATAATTCATACAAAATTAATTCTTTATTCTCTGGTAATTGAATATGATCATATTGCCAATTAAATTCATTGTTATATTTCTTTCCATTTTTAATTGTTATATAACCAAATTGTTCTTCAGGATCATATTTAGTAGCATAAGGATCGACAATATCAATTGATGTTGAAAATATCCATCCTTTTTTACTAATTTGAAATTTATATCGATGATCACCATCACTAATATTATTTACAGAACATAGAAATGTTCCATCTGATTGTTTATTCATTGGAATATCATGATCATCTAATATAAGTTTAACTTCATCAATTGTTGGTGCAAATAATGAAAATATCATTTTGAAATGATTAATGTGTGAAAACGAATGAACAACATTCAAGTAATACTTAGATTTGTCTTTCCATTTAATCACGTGTTAAGTCACGTTTTAAATCACACTATAGACTTGTACTCTATCTAACAGGAAAGAGAAAACATATCAGATAAATTCTATATGAAAAAAAATAAAAGAAACAACTAATGTTTGTATTATGAAAAAAATTTCTCGATCGTAATTGATAATAGATTCATGAGTCAAGTACCTCATAGAATTTTATCTAACAAATAATTATTTAGCAAGATTTTTTGTTTTCTCTAAAAGATAAATCAGCAAATATTTTCTTTAAAAAAGAAAAGGATGAGTGGTGATAAGGCCATTTTTCATTTCCCTCGATATTTTTCAAAAAAAACTATATGGTGAGAATCAATATTGAATTCTGAACAAAACAAGCTAGTTTATTTTTTGCATAGATTAAAAATACTTTTTGCCGTGACCTCTCGGGAAACTAAAAACTTTTTTTTTCAATTTCAATCCACATTTAGATGATTCATAGGTTATCGATATCGCTTATCACGAATATGATATTTATTTCGCTTCAAAATAGTTATGAACGCGGGACCAACGCTTTTTTTTTTTTGATATTAGAAGACTGTTGGTCCCGCGTTCATAACTATTTTGAAGCTAAATAAATATCATATTCGTGAACAGCGATATCGATAACCTATGAATCATCTAAATTTGGAGTGACATTGAGAAACAAATTTTTTTAGTTCCCCGAGAGATCACGACAAAAAGTTTTTATTTGACCTGTGCAAAAAATAAACTGCCTTGTTTTGTTCAGAATTCAATACTGATTCTCACCATATAGGTTTTTTAAAAAGTGAGGCGATAAAAAATGATCTTATCGTTACTCATCGTTTAAAACATTTAAAAAGATTTTTTTCTTGTTTGAACATTTTTCAAATTTCAGTATTTATATAAAATATTGTGAATTTCTCTAATTTTTATTATATCGAAATAAAAAACATGATCTTGATTATTTACAAATGACAGTAAGGGATTTTTTCTCTCAGAAAATCCGCTTATTTGAAAAAAATTGAAGTTGAGTTCTTATCACAGGAAGATGCAGCGAAGTTTCCACTCTCAGAATATATATGACTTTTCAAAAAAAAAAAACAAACGTTAAATTTTAACAGACTTTCGGAGGAGACTTTCACTCTACTACCCTGTGTTCCGAGAGAGTTTTGCGGTTTTTTTATTTTTGAGCAGATTGTGTTTTTGCTGATATCAGCATTGAATAAATATTCTTCGAGAATTTAAGCATGACAAATGGTGTTAGGTTATGTCGTTTTATGACGTGCTTTTGAAAATTTAATTAAGTATGTTATGAATATACTACCTTAATATGTCTTTTTTCTGGATTTCAATGAAAAAATCCATGTCTAAACTTATCGTTTTTCTTAGAGTCTGGTTTTCAATTAGGAGAATTGAAATAAATCCCATTCGGTTCCAGATATAACTAATCTTTTTTTTCTTTTAAAGGCCTAAATGAGAGACAACTTTTGTTCAACCATATCTTTTGTAGTTGATTTCTGTGTTGAAAAAAGCTAGATTTTGTGCTGTGAAGTGTTTTTTTTCCGTCTTTTTTCTAACATCAAATGTACTAAAATGACCATAAAAAACGATCAAAAAAAGTGAATTTTACAATTTTGTTGAGAGAAAAACTATGCACAGGTATGACTTTTATTGGAAAATATCCCGAACTCTGTATCACTTGTACTGACGAAGTTATAAAGATTCTTAGATTTCATTTTAAGTTCTAAATTGACGAATTATTTTCTAAACTCAATAGTAGAAATGAATCGCTTGTTTTTATTGAGATTTGGAGAAAAAACTTTTTCTAATCAGGATTAAGACTATGATCCGAAAGGCGCTTGGTCCACTGATGTTTAAAATGAGTTATTATGTTTATAAGAATCTCTAAATATTTCTATGAGAAAATTTTCCATCTTAACTCTATTACGTTTGAAGCGACTAAAATAAAAATCTTATCATCATATAACAAGAAAATATACTATTCAAAATAATTCATTGTAACTTATAATCAACTTATTCTTCAATAATTACTTATTTAATTATAAAAATTCTAAATAAATTTATTCAATATAGGAAAAATATTGCAAATATTTATTGACTAATATTACTATGCAACACAGATTCGATGAGCTTGGAGAATTTTCTATTAAACAGTCTGTGATGATTGTAAATATTCTCAAAGAATTTATTCAACTTTATTTCATATTTGATTTGTGTAACATAAAAACGAAAATAAGCCATAATTGATTTGAAGATGTCTTTTTAGAATGATATTACAATGGCGTTTGTGCACTTGATTTCTGTTTATATCAAGAAACAATATGAGATTTATTATCTTAAATTCTTTAATTCAGAATACACACAGATAAACACTACTTTAGTTTGTTTTCTTTCGCTATTTTATGTGAAAATAAAAATTTGATGTGACATGAATGATGTTGAATGAGGATACAGAATGTTGAAAGTGAATCATTGTTACATTTGTTAACTCGATTGATAATACGTTTAATCAAATTCTAATAAGATTTTTTAAATATCAAATATAAATATTTTTCGTTCAAATAATAAATTAGAAAAGGTTTTTTTATGTAAGAACAAATTCAAATAAAGTAATCCATGGTTTTTTTTCTTTAAGCTCTGTCATTACATCATCTCTGTTGAAATTCATTTTAAGAAAGGTTTAAATTTTTTATTTAAAGGGTGTGGGTGTGAGTCTTGTTTTCACCCACACCCACATCTATCCATACCCCCACACCCCTACACCTCTACACCCACACCCCACACCCGCCCACACCGCCACACCCACACCCTTAGTTTTGGATAAGTAAAGCTATTCCAGATTTAGGTTAATGAAGTTGCGTTCAAAAAATGATCCAGCTCAGTACAAGCGACTTGTACTAGAACTATCTTTGTAAAAAAGCGGCTCAGCTTAACGAAAAAAGGTTTTGAGATAGAATTTTTTTAAATTCCTGGAACCATTTTTTATCTAACATGATTCTGTAAGTTATTCAAGAACCTTTAATGGTTTGTTAATAAACGAATGAAACTTTAAAAACTTCAGTATCTTCGCTAAAACCATAAGTTGTTACTTATGACACCTTTTTTTAAAGAGAGCACACGCAGGTTGCTTAGTCGATCATCGCCTGTTCAATTACACAAGTAGATCTTGACAAGCTTCATGATGGAAAAAGATCGTTCGGCAATTGCTACCTAGACCGATATGTGAGATTCTCGTTTACTTAATGGTCTGTTACTCTTACTCACAGTAACGCTTAGGCTAGATGACGGTTATACCTAATTCCGGTGTGCTATGGAAACGAGGTATCTCGCGTAAAGTAAATAAAATACGCTTATCATGCGTTGTTATATTGATAATGAAATGTTGATGGGAATCAAATAAGGTTTTATTTATATTAATAATACTAAGAAAATATAATAATAATAGAAAGACAAGAGATAATATCAATAGAGAATAATGATAACAATAGTGGGAAGATGAAAGGACAATATCACTGGGAGAGGTAAACAACAATAACTGGGAAAATTAGAGAATCTGAGGATAAACACTGGAATGTCCAGAGAAAATATATATTATCGATTGAGACGATAAAGAAGGAATACCATAATAGGAAACAATTGAACAGTTATCCGTAATAGAGTGCCCTCTATTGACGCTAACAGGACATCATCCTATACAATTCAAGTAAAATACAAAATATTGGGATAAAACAATTTGAAAAGTTGTGTCATCTTCGGTGCCTGCTGCATGATCTAATCTTGCTGCACACATCTCTCATCTGCCAGAGAATGGTTTTCTACCATTCGATTTGTTTCTTTGTCTATCTGCATTAGCACATCATACGAAGAAAAAAATGATGATTCTTTTTTCTTTATCGACAGACATAGAAGTAAATGTTTGCAAAGGTAACTTTACATGACTAAAGCCATGTGAGAGTTGAGAACAAAACAAAAATCTATCAGTAAACCAAACCGTCATATATAAACAGTAATTTGCGTTGTTATTAACTTTACATATAGTTTTTTGTAAAGGGAATAATCATTGAAATTTTATCGATTAATTTTTAAACTCTTTGAAGATGAACACATCCGAAACGAAGACGGCCTCGAACACCATCGAACCATTCCACGTAAATATTCCACAATCGATTCTTGACGATTTAAAACTTCGTCTCGATCTAGTGCGCTGGCCTGAGCGTGAGACTGTGACTGATTGGTCACAAGGTGTGCCTCTTGCTAAAGCTCAAGCACTGATCGATTATTGGCGTACAAAATACGATTGGCGTCGTTTCGAAAGTCAAATTAATAAATTGCCTCATTTTCGAACAACAATCGATGGTCTTGTCATTCATTTTATTCATGTTAAATCAAAACATGATAATGCTCTACCTTTACTTCTTACACATGGATGGCCTGGTTCATTCATCGAATTTCTTCGTACAATCCCATTACTGACTAATCCCACGGCATTCGGAGGCAAAGCTGAAGATGCTTTTCACGTTGTGATCCCTTCTCTTCCTGGATTTGCATTCAGTGATAAGCCGACAGAAACTGGCTGGAATAGCGAGCGTATTGCTAAGGCATGGATTGTGCTTATGGAGCGTCTGGACTACAAACATTGGGTTGCTCAAGGTGGTGATTGGGGAACTGACATAACGACAATTCTCGGTCAAATACATCCACCAGGACTTCTTGCCATTCATCTCAATTGGCAGTTCGTTTTTCCTGAGAAAATACCGGAAACACTGTCGCATGACGAACAACGTGCAGTAGATGCTGCTAATAAATTTTTTACAGATGGATCAGGATACTTTCGTGAACAATCGACAAGACCACAGACAATCGGCTATGCACTTTGTGACTCACCGGTTGCTCTAGCAATGTGGATATATGAGAAATTTTAT